GCAAGGTCCTTAACCCCAACCATCTGCTTCCCTGGGCACCCTAGATGGCAGCTCTCTGCTCCACACAGAGGGCTGTGGTAGCTCAGTGGTCTGTGGCTGTATCAGGAGGGACATTCAGTGTAAAAATAATTGCAGAATCTTCATGCGACAGTTCTCTGTGGCAACCCCTGATGAAGGGAGCAGCCGAAGAAGAAAAAATATCTTCAAGGATTCAAGAATTTTTGATTGTCATACCAGCTCACACTTGCATGTTTATGTTACGAAAATCAGACTCAGGCCCCAGTTCAAGCAGCCTAACAATTAACAAAGAAATAAATGCTTATATATATATATATATATATATATATATATATATATATATATATATATATATATATATATATCATAAAGTTAAAAAAATTAAGATGAAGCTGAATTAAGTGCAGCTCAAGTTCAGCAGTCTGACAGCTGCAGGGAAGAAACAGTTTCAGGTCTTGCTCTGAATGCTCCTCGGCCGCCTGCTTGAGAGGAGGGGCTGGAACAGACTGTGTGCAGGATGAGTGGAGTCCTTCATGATGTGGAGCGCCCTCCCCCTGCATTGTGAAGTGTAGAGGTCCGAGGTGGAAGGCTGCTCCCCACAGTCTTCTTTGCCACCCTCTGCAGAGCCATCTTCTCAGCAGCAGTGCAGCTGCCGTGCCACACGGTGATGCAGGTGCAGAGAACGCTCTCCAACACACAGCGATAGAAGCTCTTCACGACAGAGCTCCCAAGTCCAGCTTTCCGCAGTTTCCTGAGGAAGTAGAAACGCCTTCTTGACCAGACAGGAAGTGTTGGCTCTCCAGGTGAGGTCACTGGATATATGCACCCCCAGGTACCTGTAGCAGGAGACCACCTACACAGCTGCTCCTCCAATGTGTAGGGGATGAAGAGGATCCTTGTCCTTTCTGAAATCCACCACCTTCTCCTTGGTCTTCTTCACATTGATGCAGAGATTATTGTCTCTGCACCAAGTGTTCCACCTCCTCTCTGCATTTGGACTCATAATTGTTTGTGATGCATCCCACTACTGCTGTGTCATCCTCAGACTTCACTATATGGCAGCTGGGGGGTCTAGCTGAGCAGTCATATGTCAGCAGAGTGAACAGGAGGGGGCTCAGCACACAGCCCTGGGGCAAACCAGTGCTGAGGGTGTTGGAAGAGGAGATGATGTTGTGAATCTTGACAGTCTGAGATCTGTTGGTCAGAAAGTCCTGAATCCAGTTTCCCAGTGTGGGACTCAGTCCAAGAAAGGAGAGCTTCTGCACCAGGGTGTGTGGGATGATGGTGTTGAAGGTCGAGGAGAAATACAGAAAGAGCAGATGGATGTAAGAATTTCTGCTCTCCAGGTGGGTGAGGGCTTTGTGGACCACCACAGATGGCATCAGCAGTGGAGCAGTTCCTTCTGTAGGCGTACTGATATGGGTCCGCAGTGATGTAGACGGAGTCCTTGATGTGGTTCATGACCAGCCTCTCGAAGCACTTCATGACTACCAATGTTAAGGCTATAGGTCACTGGTCATTCAGGCCTGTCACTGTGGAGCACTTGGGTACAGAGACAATAGTGGCAGTGAGGTGTTGAAGATGTCCGACAGCACCTCAGACAGCTGGTGTGCGCAGTCCTTCAGTACCCGCCCTGGGATGTTGTCGTGGCCTGCAGCCCTACGGGGGTTGATTCCCTGGAGAGTCTTCCTCACATCTGCTGTGGTCACACAGAGGGGCGTGTCACCGGGTGGTGATATAAGTCTGGTGCTGGGGGTGAGTTAGGATCTTGAAAGCGAGCAAATAACTTATTGAGTGCATCTGGCAATGAGGGGTCCCTTGGGCATTGTGCATCCCTGATGCTGTAGTTTGTAATGCACTTAATGCCATTTCACATGTGTTGGGGGGTCGTTGGTAATGAAGTGACCCTGAAATTTCTGGGAGTATGTGGCTTTGGCCCTTGCAATGCCTGCAGTAAATAGTAAATAGCAGTTAAATTGCAAAAAAATGAGTGAAAAAATAAAAAACAAGAACACAATAATGTGCATGTTGAAGAATCAGATGGACTATAGAAGGTTTGACTGGAACAACGCCTTTAGGATGGTCTCATGCATGCATGCTAAAAAGATTTGTATTGACACGTGCATCATGGGATTCAGCTGCACATGGAGTAAAAGAGCAAATATCATTGAAAACCATTTGTCTGAGTTCATCACATTCCTCTGACTAGTTTCATAGTATCTCTATAGAGCAGATACTGTTGCTCTGCAATGCTCTGATCACACATGCACAAGTCAAAATAACGGAACATTATAACATGTGTTGGCAAAGTTATTAACAGCAACAAGTGCTGGGAGGTCAAGGAGCCAAAGATGTAAAGGCAGCACATTAATTTCAATCTGAATGAGGATTTAGGCCTCCTGTGAGAGGCTGGAAAAGGTTTAGTTTTGTTCTCGCCGCTCGTCCTTCATCCAGCTTGACCCTCGCTCCTCCATTTTTCTTCCTGTCCTTTGAGTCTCCAAGGGTTCGGAGCAGAGCTTTGCATCTCTCCAAGCCAGTGTGGCTCTCTGTTATACATTATATTCAGATTTAAATTGAATGTCTTTTTTTTTATCATAAATATATCAGTTTGCTGACATACTGAGCAAAACGACACTCCTGGTGTGGATCATACATCCTTTAAAGCTTGCATGAGTGAAACTGCAGCTTTACTTCAAATAAAGTGCTTTGAGCTTGTGTTATTTTCATTTTATATACTATCTGATTGTATTTTTTTTTTAAAGGCTAAAGGTTTTACTGCAAAGCCTTTGTCTAAAATTTAGAAAGTGCTCCAGTACACAGGTGATGAATCAGCATAACATATATACAACATGGTGGGAGGGAACATTTTTAATGGGGTTAGTTTTTTAAGGAAAACCTTTCTGTTGGCATAAACATTTTCAAGAAAAGACAACTGTGCTTGAGGTGCAGTGGAGCAAGCGTTTTTTCATCTCGGATGCTTGCAGTGCTACAAATACCCCGAGGCACGCAGCACAGAGGATAAAACGAATTACGTAAACTGCAAAACTGTATTACACTGCATTTTGTGCAAGCGCTTTACCTTAGCAACCTCCGGAGGGTATGTCTGACTGTCGCCCGAAGCTGAATTCACAAAGTGACAACAGTCCATGGGACTCTGCACACAGTTTGTTTTCCAGCTCTGCTCTGTCATGTCTCACTCCGACCCTCTCAGCCTGAGCCAAATTAATCAGCTCAGTGGGGTGCAGGTTTAATGAGATGGGCATTTTAGATGCAGCCCAATGGCCAAATAAGCCGTTTTCACAAATCAGCAGAGGCCCAGAAATGCTCTGTAAGCTCTGAGAACCACTGAAAGTATTTTTACCCCACTGTGTAGACAATCTAGCTCAAGGTGTTAGCAATAACTAAATACTGCCTGCCACCAAAGGCAAACGGGTGATAATGCTTTTGCCTGTGTCTGTGTGTGCACACGTACACATTCATTAGTTAATAGTAAAAATGACTCATTATAGAGGACAGGTTTTGACTAAACTCTCAGGAAGTCATGGGTGATTATACATCTACAACTGATTAACATTGATCCTTGATTTTATTGTTTTATAGCACTATTTTTTATTGCATTTTATTGTTGTTTATTGTTGTCTGTGCTTTTTTATATGTTGCCTGTCTAAAAACAGGTCCCTCTTGAAACTGAGTCCTCGTGACTCAACGAGACTAACCTGTATAAATATAGGCTGAATGAACATTTGGAGCCACGTCGAGTCAAGGTGGCCACAACAGCTTGTCAGCATTAGCCAACACAAAGAACAGCTTCAGTTAATTATGGATGTTGAGATAAATTTGGTGTGGTAGCAGCAGCTGAGGGTCATTTCCAACACGTACTCTGAGTGCTATCTCATCCTGTGATGTCCCATAAAATTGCACGAGAATATGCACAAGGTTTGATTACAGTGAGTTTTAACTGTCTCCTCTGAAAATAAGGTTGTTTTAGTCTAAAACTCTGATATATGCATTTTTTTCAAGTAATGCCCTGCCTTTAATAAAGAAGGGATCTTGGTCTGGTGGTTAAAAATAAAACATAAGTCATGATCCAAAAAAGCCAAAAGAAAACTGGTGTTAAAAGGCTTCATCTGATTAGTTGCTTTATTAAAAAAGTCTTCAAAAGCTGCATTATTGGAAAAATGACTTTTAGGTGAGACCCTGGAGTTTACACACCCATTAATGAGCCGCCTCTTGTTTCTCGCCCTCTCTCAGCGGATGAACAGAGATGGATTTCCCATGCTCCGCTACTTCTGCCATTGTCAGCCGTCTGTAGAGCTCAGTCATATTGAACATTACCCCCAAATACATGCTTTCTCAAATTTAACCCACTCTTGTGTTTAAGCTCAGAGCGTGCACAGAAAACACATTGTTGCCATGCCAAGTGGGAGCCCCACGGTGGGACGCAAAGTCCACATTCATTCGGATTTGACAAAGCTCCCATTCAGCTATAGGTTTTGACATCATTTTCACTGGCCTCTGCACGAACTTTGGGTTGTAAGCCAGAGTATGAAACTGACAAAACAAAATATTAAATTGAACAAAGGTCTTTGACAGAAGGCAAAACGCTGAATGTGTGCAAAACCTCATTTTATAATTATCTGCAGAGAACAGAGGATTCAAACCTGAGAAACATTTAATGCTACTTTTTCCTCAGTGAAGCAGAAAGCTGTGTGTGGAGGGACTAATGTGTTTCCATGGCAACCTATACAGTAATCAGGTTTGTGGCTTTACTACAGTAGAAGCTGAGTGAGGAATAATGCGAGATAATAATTTCTGCAGAGGAAGGTTTAGTCGCGTTCGATGAAATATATTAAAATTTGAAGAGCCACGTTCTGAGAGTATTTGTTTCAGAAACATTTAATCTCATTGGATTTGTGTTATTCTGCTTGAGAGTAACGGCGACCACATCATCTCTTTGGGTTTATTTGTTTTTGATTACGCAGGAAAATCCCAGGACGGCAGCCTTTCCGACATGGAGGAGCTCCCCGTTCCTCAGAACATCAAGATCAGCAACATCACCTGCGACTCCTTCAAGATCTGCTGGGACATGGAGGCGCGCAGCAAGGAGCGCATCACGCATTACTTCATCGACCTGAACAAGAAGGAGAACAAAAACTCCAACAAGTTCAAACACAAGGTAATGCTCGAGTCGGGGAAAAAATAAAATCATTTTAAGAGATGAGTCACTGTTGGAGAGTCACATGAGCAGATCCGGCTGTTTTGTAGCTGACATGTCGTGTAGCATTATAAAAGTGAATAATTCGCTTTTTGTCATTCCCCTTTATCAAATCACAAAACCGGAGACATGATAAAAGTCATGAATAGTTGATTTTATATAATTATTCAACAAGGTTAATGCTTTAAACTGGAACAGTCTATTTAAATAAGATGGCAGTCACTTGTTATTAAGGAGTAAAGGTTAATTTTGACAAATACATTTGCTACATATGAAACTTGTGTCTGTTTTAACTGAATTGGAGTCCTATAATAAATTTATTCTAAGACTTTTATCCTTCATCGCTACCATGGTTGTATAGTGATGCACTTTTGAAAAGAAAGACTAAAATATTGACAAGTGAATCAAAATAATGATATTTTTATAGTTATTAATGACCTAATACATGACTTTAGAAAATTAAGTTATTCATTAGAGCCAATTATTGATGTGTAAAACAACTAATGTGCTATGACTTTATGCAATTATTTCACAGTTGATGGAGATAAATTACTTTTTTTTTAAATCAAGTATTTAAACCGTAATGTGCAAAACTTTTAGACAGCCTGTAATTTATTTTATATTTGTTCCTAAAGAGTCAGATATTGTTGTGAAGTGGTCTAGATTGGGGTTTTTCCAGGTTTTTTGAAGGTCTAGGGGGAAATGCAGCTTTCAAAGACCTTTATGAAAGCCTGGACTCTAACAGCGCACTGACCTCAGCGTGATGGCGGCTCCTTTAGTCCAGTTTCGGTCACCTTACAGTCTGGTTTCGTCAGCCTTCTTCCTTTCTTGCCGTTTTCCTCTTCCTGGCGGCTGCTCAGCCGAACCTCTCTTCTGTCTGCTTGCTCTGTTGCCAGGCAGGGACAGTCAGTCCAATCAATGAGCTGCTAAGAATGACTGATTCTGGTGTGGTGTGAGGATTGTTACTGGGATTTAGCAATAGATGTAAACTAAAAAAGACAAGCCGAACACTGTGTGACTGCTGCTAATGGTTGCATGTGAAAGGAAGCCCAACATGGACAGTCTCTTTAAGACTCAGTCCTTCCTGTTACCACCTGTCTCTGTCCACTTTTCAATATTCCTTTGTCCTCCTTCCATTCAGGATGTTCCTACCAAGCTCGTGGCCAAGGCAGTGCCCCTGCCCATGACGGTGAGGGGCCACTGGTTCCTGAGCCCCCGCACAGAGTACACCGTGGCCGTTCAGACCGCCTCCAAACAGCCCGACGGGGACTACTCCGTCTCCGAGTGGAGCGAGATCATCGAGTTCTGCACTGCTGGTGTGTAATAGAGTTCAATAAATGCATTTTCAAGGTGCTTACCATCAGTGCCACCATTGATTTTTGGTTTGGATTACAGAGAAGTAAACATGGGAACGAAAAAACAGTGCAAAGAGGGAGGATATTAAAGGAAGACTGATGCTGTGAGTGGAGAGTATGATAACAGGAGGGGGAAAGGAAGGATTAAAAGAATGAGGGGCTGTACATCTACTGATCTGAGGTCAGAGAGTTTTACGTCACAGGCGAGAGAGGCTTAGAGGGGGGAGGGGATGGGAAAGAGACTCGAGGGGGGAGTTTATCAAAATGGCGTAGACGTTGGAGATAACAGCCGTGGTTCAAATAGAGCTTGGGCCCTTTGGTGCACGTTCCCCTCTGACCGTCCTCAGTTCTGACAAACAGAGATAAGTCTGAGACTGTCCTGTTGTCAGGGTCATACAACACTCATCCAGTTCATTCGTTTTATTTATTTGGTGCCAATTCACAACAAAAAGTAATCTCTGTCAAGATCTGAGCGTTTTCGGTTCATCACTATTTTTTCCTCAGTCAGTCGTTTCTACGCCCACCTCCACCTGTTCCCTGTTATCATTAAGCCACCTGTCTCCTGCGTCCTCGTCAGCCCCAGTCCTTGTCAGTGCTCACGTCTCTGTTTAGTCTGGCATTGTGCTTCTATGCCCTGTGTGGGTCTCCTCTGTGTCTCCTGGAGTTTTTTTAAATCTTTTTGCTGACTCAGCAGCTGTTTGCATTTGTTTGACGATTAACGTTTCAGTGTTTTAGCTCGTTAGGTTGATCAGGATGACTGACCTGGTCTGATCTTCCTATAAACCATGACAATCTCAGCTATGCATAGAAAACAAAATAACTTCCATTAAAACAAAGCTGGCAGTTAAACATTACACATGAGCAGAAAAAAAAAAAAAAAAAACATTTATTCTGCTTTGACTGCCCACACCAGATTTCAGCACTTTGAGTTCAAGAGTTGTTCCAACATTGTACTAACATAAAGTCAAAGTTGTGAACCTGGATATGGCAACAAATCCATAAATGAAATTAATTAATTAATTAAAATATGCACCCATCTATAGGCTTTATGTCCCAGTAATATTCTACCTGTGTACAAATTTCCACATTAATCCATTTTTAATAATAAGGCCCAGTCCTTGCCAGCTACATATGTGGCCTACTGTATACTGAGAACATAAGTACCAGGCTGTCATGTAATAGAAGTGTTGCAGACAGAATAACTAAACCTTAAAAAAATGGACTCGTTTTATAAAGAAAAGCAGTTTACGGTGGAAGAAAGAGAAATAAGGAAGAAGATTGCTTGATTATGTTACTGGTGTTCTAACTGAGTGGGAAATGCTCATCACAGAAAACAGAAACAAATCTTTTGGCAAGATAGATGTCAAAAGGCTTTTTCTTTTCACTTGTCATTGTAGCAGCCATCTGTGTTTAAAATCAAAAAGGGAAAACCAAACCAGCCTGTTGGATATAAAATCCCTGTGTATTTTCAATTGTTTTCAAGGCTCACTCGTTTGCTCATTTGTCTCCATGTGTTTGCTGCTTGTGGGAAGCAGAATAGGATTGCCGTTATAGTTTTTGGCTTATACTCAAACTCATTTGGCAGAGACACCCGTAAGATGGTGGGTGAAAACAGAACATGTTACCAGACTAAATGAAATGCTCGTGTTTAAATGCCGAGACACAAAAGGCAAATTTAGGAGGTTTTAGATGATCAAGTCACATTGCATTTGTGGCAATAAAGACTTTTTGTTTGTTTTTTGTATTTAGTTTTACTATTAGTTAGTATGAGCGACTAATAATGTGTTGAATGTGTTTTCAGATTATTCCACAGTGCATCTAAACCAGTTGATGGAAAAGGCAGAGGTCATTGCTGGGAGGATGCTGCGTTTTTCTGTCTTCTACAGAAACCAGAACAAAGAATATTTTGATCACGCCAGGTAGGCATTATTATTACACTTTAATTCTTTTTTTCTGAATAACGCGGTAGCTTGGTGGTCATGACCTTGTAATCTTAAGGTTGTGGGTTCTAGCCCAGGTTTTGTCAGGAACGGCATCCAGCATAAAACAATTGCCAAATCTTTCGTGCATGACCACTCCCTGTGGCAACATGAAGATGGAAGAAAATTTTACTTTTTTGTTTGTTGTACAATCCCAAATTTCACTACAATATCGTAATTATTTTGAGGGCAAATAATTACTCTACAGTAGCCATTCCATCCGGTTAGTTTTAAAAATGCATTTTTCACTGAAACATACATTTTTATATTGAAATAGCTTTACAGAAGCAGGAATGGAAGTGTTCATCATTGCTATTTTTTGTGTTTCCAGATTAATGCACTAAAAATGAACTGCCTGGGGGGGAAGGTTATAATTACAGTATTTTCTGGCATATAAGTCACAGTTTTTTGCATAAATTTGTCAGTCCTTTGACTTGTATGCCCAAGCAACTTATATACGTCTTTTTTTTCCATATTCATAATACAATTTTTGACTGATGCTTTAAAATTTCGAAGAACTGCAACAGTGAGTCCTTCCGTGCACGCTCGCTTCACTCAGCTGGTGCAAGAGGAGGAATGCTAGAGAGGTAGTGGCTCTGGCTGCGATGGATGGATGGATGGATGGATGGATGGATGGATGGATGGATGGATGGATGGATGGATGGATGGATGGATGGTGCTGCGCCGCACAGGCGAACTGAAGCTGTTTTGACCATTAAATAAATGCATAATAAACATGACGGGTCAGCAGTGATGCATAATAAAAGTGACTTATATATGTTTTGTCCCTTTTCAAGATGCTTTTTTTAATTGATGCGGCTTATACTCCGGAAGATACCAAACTCAGCTAATTACCAGGGCAAAGGTGTGGTAATAAGATGCCTAGTTCAACTGAACATGTATTTTCCAATAACTCAGGCTCATGAAATCTATATTTAATTTAGATGTTGCTGCAAACAGTGATGTAGGCAGATGTACATTTCTAGACTTGGCTGCAATAGCACGATGGAGCCATATGCATCAAAAAAAGCATTTTCCATCAGCTGCTTGAAGCACAGAAAGGAGTATTAGCTGGAGCTATAAGCATGTTGATTATTCCTGTAAATCCCCACATGCCACACTGAACTTCTGCAGCTTCCAGTAAACTCCTCTGCACGCATGCAACACAATATGCAGCAGGGGGTTTTTTTGTAATCAAGCAGAAGGATTGTTTTCTACAAGCAAAGGGCATTTTGGGGGGAAACTAAAAACAAGGAAAATGTGAGAGACACAGGAGGGAGTGTGAGTTAAACTCTACAAAAGTGCATTTAGACTGTACGCTGGTCAGATTTCATAAGTGCACTTTCTCCAACTTCCACCTTTTCTCCTCCTCCCTCCTTTAATAGCTATTCCTTTCATCATCATGTTCCCTTTTCAGCCTTTGGCTCAATAAATAAATAAATAAATAAAATAGACCGAACAGATTCGTTACTTAAGCCACAGCTTGTGAGCTCTCTTTTGTTGGCGCTGTGCAGAATGACGTCATCCATCTTGTTGCTGTCGTTGAGCTCCAGCTAACATGTTCAACTGCGCCACCATGTGGGGAGTAACAGTACTGACAATATTACTGCACAAAAGAGCTGCACATTTTCAGTGTTTGTTCAAAACAGCATCAATTAGAGGCTATAAGCTTTGAAGCTGCACCTCATAACTGGATGTTTGGAGCTCGTTTATTTGCTGCATGAGCCTAACCAGATATCAGCTTTTATAAAAGTGTATTTTATTCAGAGTAAAATGTACTAGTATACTCAAAATTATGTTTTATTATAAAATTGCATAGAACATTAAAATGTCATAAAAAAGCTGTAACTTCCATGAGGGCACACAAAGCAAACAGTCTGAACGGTGATGTAATCTGTGACAGATGCTTAGCAACAAGGGTGCTTTAAGCTCCGCCAACAAGGAGCCACATCCCCAGAAGTGATACATTATAACTCATCAAATTGATTTCATATCTGATGTTTTGTTCCTCGGGTTAAAAAAACAAACAAAACAAAAAAACAAGTTAGAGACTGATTAAATGAGACTAACTCACAGGTCAAATTAATGACCCACGCTGAGAACAAACAATAACCGCCACAGCTAAACAACCTTATCAAACACAAAAACAGCTATAACTCAGCCAATTGCATAAATATTGAGCTAAAATATGTTGTGCTAATAGCTGAGTCATCAATAACACATTCCCTGAGCGCATCTTGTGAAATGTCAGTAAATCACATGGAAATGTGCAGAAAGTCATTTACAGCAGAGACCTGAATTTTAACAAAGAGTGATGACAACAGTGGACAACAACGACAGCAACAGACAATCACACAGGATGTACACTAATTTAAGTTTGTTTGTTTTTTTACAAATGAAAATAAACGTCATTGAAGAAGATGGTCATCAGTTCATATCTATATGGGAAATAATGACTGTTATAACTGCTATTATCAATGTTGTTAACATTTAATGAATTTATCAATTATTACTGCATTATGATATATTAACATGTTAAAAAAATCATTGATGCTTGATCATTATGGCATGCAAATATGAACGCATTGTACCAGTTATAGATATGGATATATAAAATACTAAAAAATAATGTTATAACCAAGTTACCATGAATAGTAAATTATTGGATGATGCTATAGATGTAAGAGTGGTGTAACAACAAGTTTATACTTTTACCCACTCTTTTGAACGTGTAAATGTACTTTACTATTGTTGTTGGGTTTTTTCTGCTTGCTTTTGTTTTAAGTTTTTTTTATATAACTTTGTTTATGCTTTTATTATACTACATTCAATAAAGTTAAACTCAAACTCAAAATAAAATGCTAATTAAAAGGAAAAGTAGCAACAACAAAAAAAACAAAAAAACAGCTAGATTACGAGGCGGTGCAGAAAACTCAAAACAGGAACATGTCTGCATTGGTTCTTGCCAGGAACTTAACAGATGTTTGAAGCCACTGAGAGAGGTCAAGGTCGGGAGCTTCAAATCTTTTTGCAAGATATTCCAGGAAACATGAGCGGAGTAGGAGAAGACCCTTTCGCCCAGTTCAGTTCTCACTGAGGGAACACTGCATGTTACAGCTCCAACTTCTTCAGCGAAATAATTTCCGTGGCGTATGGAGGACGATCTTTGAAGTCTTGCTAAGCATTTCATCTTTTCATGTGTGTGTGTACAGGGAGGTGCAAGGGAACCGAATGCTGCCATCGGTGAAAGACAACAGCGGCAGCCACGGCTCACCCATCAGTGGCAAACTGGAGGGCGTCTTCTTCAGCTGCAACACGGAGTTCAACACAGGCAAGCCTCCGCAGGACTCCCCCTACGGTCGCCACCGCTTCGAGGTCCAGGCTGACACACTCTTCAACCCAAACACCAGTCTGTACTTTGGCGACTTCTACTGCATGTACACAGCCTACCACTACGTTATTGTGGTCCTGGCGCCAAAGGGCTCTAGGGGCGACGAGTTCTGCAAGCAGAGGCTGCCTGCCCTCGATATCGGCAACAACCGTTTTCTGACCTGCAAGCAGGACGAAGAGGGAGGTCTGGTGTTTCACCACGCCCAGGACGTCATCCTGGAGGTGATCTACACGGAGCCTGTAGACCTGGCGCTGGGCACGGTGGCTGAGATCAGTGGGCACCAGCTGATGAGTTTGTCCACAGTAAACGCCAAGAAAGACCCCAGCTGCAAGACCTGCAACATCAGCGTGGGACGCTAAGAGCGAACTTTGTACAAACAGGAAGTAAGGACTACATTTGATTGACACACATGCATTCACACAGAGGAAGGCCACGTGTACTGATGAAGCAAACCCATGCATGATGCAGCTGATTTATTAGACTCCCTGAGGAACTCCTAAAAGATCCTAAACCCCAAAGAATTGAGGGGGGAAAACAGAGGAAGATTCTGACACCTTCATCCACGTCTCGTCTAAAAAGAGATCATAAAAATACTAAAAAAAAAAAAAAACAGAAACTAATGTGTTCATCCATCTGGCACGCCATCTTTGTGTACTGACCAAATCCTTAAACTGTGCTAAAAATAGCTGCTTCTATTCACTTTCCTGTTCATTTGACTTGTTCCATGTTCCTTTGCTTTGGTGTTATTGGCAGGCTGTTAACTTAGTGTCCACTGCCTGCGTGGACAGTATTTTTTCTGATTATATCGGCAGCGTACGTCCCGTTTTCATTTCACAGTTGATAAATTCAGACTTCTTTTTACTCGTGGCACAGACTGGGCTGCAGCATTGACAGTTTTTATACCAAAGGTGTTAAAATCAGACATCAAGTTGTTGTGGGATCTAAGCAGTACGAATGCAACAGTCTCTACATGTGTATCCACCCGGTCTTGTATGACCAAACGTGAGCAGCTTATTAACCTTTAAACAAACAAGCATGATGCAGTTCTGTGCAGCATGAAAGCTGTCAGTACCTCTACCATCTCTGCAACACTCTTATTTTGTCGTCAGTGGAAAGAAAGGAGAACCGTAAAATGTGTTCGGCAGAATAAATGTGAAAATATATTTATTTTTAATATTACATTCATATATATATAAATATAAAACTATATAAACCAGAAGTGCACAATGTAAAAGATCTTCGTCAACGCAGGCATTTCATAGAGGCAAAAAAAGTGGGGAACACAAATTTGACAGCAGATATAACTTGCACTACGTTCACTGCACATGTTCCAACATCAGCGTCTAAATCAGGGGTGTCCAAAGTGTGGCCAGTGGGCCAATAGCGGCCCTTGGGGTAATTTTGCGCGGCCCTCGACTGCAATTAAATGGTATAATTTTGACCCACAGGCTTAAGAGGTTGATGCAGATGTAGACGTTTAGATTTAACGGTGATGCTTTTTAAATATGATTTTTATGAATAACAACAAAAAAAGATGAAAATAATCTTCTCAAAATGAGCAACATTAAGTACAATACAAACATTTAGCTATAATTAATGCCTTTATCTTACAACAAACCTTCAATGACATACCAAAAAGCAGAATTTTGGATTATAATTCATAAAACTTGGTTAGATACAGTATAACAAGTGTTTTCAAAGGAAATATTTTCAGTTGATTAAATCATTGATGGGGAGAAATAGGACATTTTAAAAAGAATATAAAGTATCATCGACATACAAGTTGATCAGCATCCCTTCAAACCTTTCATGAACCTGTTTTAGCGACTGCCGGCTGTTTTTCAGAACTTTGTTGATCCATTTGGGCCGTCCATGGTCCAAATGAGGGATTGAAATTCCAACCCCCTTTTTTTTTTTTTTTTTAAATAGCCGTTATTCATTTTAGGCTTTTGTCTCTGAAAATGAATTAAAATGAACTTTGAAAGTACAGGAAAACAAATAATAGTACCCCAAAAAATCTAATAAATTAAATTCTTAAAATAAAAAAAGGTTAAAAAAAACAATAGGTTAATGTTTATGAGGCTCATAATGTTCTGGATCTATTAGAATTTAAACTAAACTTTTAACCTTTCTCCAAAAAAGTATTCAAGTTGTTAAAAATGAAAAGAAAAACAATCACGCTTTTTTAAAAAAAAAAAAAAGTTTTTTCTTCTTAAATTCAGATTTTTTTGGCCCACCTATGAAAATGTTTGGACACCCCTGGTCTAAATTGACTGGTCGCAATTTAGAAGGACTTTACGATTCCAAATGCATATCACAGCACAATGTAGGACTAAAAACTCACATGCACAAACATTGCAAGATTGTCTCACTGAATGCATTTAAGCTTATGCATTTTTTTTGTTTGTTTTCCAAATGCAGTTTCCACATTTAACAACAACAAAGACTGTTTTTTTTGGCAAGAATAAAAAAAAGTGAAAAACAAAGTGCCATAATTACTTGAATTAGTCACGAATTACTCAAACGTAACTAACAACATGTTGCTGTGCTTCATCCATGACATGTAGATGTGCAACATAGCATACAAAAGATACAGGTTTAAAAAAAAAAAAAGTGTCCTGATTGATATGGTTTGTCTTTTTAAGACCAAAAAAATATAAGAAAATGGAGGAAAAAAAAAAAAAAAGAGACTGTAAAGAATTTCTATTGATATTCTTCATGTAAAGTGCATTTACACAACGAGCATGGCATGAACAAAGACAAACTGGCTTCAGAAGCTAATTTTTCACACAGAAAATCCTGTTCTGTTTATTAGAAGTCCCACTGTGAGAAGCTCAACTTGTCTTGGTTGAGTCTTGTTTACTGAGCAGAGCCTCCAGAAGACGGAGCTTCGCTTTGAGGTTCTTGTACTGGCAGTACTCCTCTGCCATCGGTCCACGGTCCTCTTTCTGACAAAGCCTGTTAACGAGACACGCAGAAGAAAGGATGCAAATGAAAACCTTTTTTTTTTTTTCTCCACAGTTTCAAAACAACCTGCAGCAGCTTCCAAAACTGGTTGATGGTCCCTTCGTTGCCTTACTCAGATAACGTTGTACAGCGTGTGTATTGTTATCAAAGACCGTAACTGTATTCTACTTTGGACGACTAACATGTACAGTACCAAGGATGTGCACAGTTCAGAGCAAACGTCTGTCTATTTGTTTTTTTCCTGAGCTCTTTGTGCTGGATTAACGTTACATGTGCGTCTCACTGTTGTACCATCGCGATTATTTTTCCCCCCCTTTTTTTGTGGATGTTTTTCACAGGCATCGTTAAATAAAAAACAAATGTTCCAAGTTTATTAAAAGACAAAAATAAAATGATAAGTCAAGTACTTTGAAAGTGATGTGCGTATGTGTGAGCGTGTGCAACAGTTACCTGCCGGTCTGAGTGTAGAAATGTTCCTCAAACTCTCGCAGCGCTTGGTGAAGTCTCCGCTTTTCTAATCGAACCATCCTGAGGTGATCCAGTAATTCCTGCCTGCATCAAGGAAGGTTCAGATTATTTTATTTTTATAATGTGCGTCAAATGACTTTCTCTTATACACACACATACACAGAAAATTCGTACCTTGATGCTTCATGCAGTGTTGCCATGGTGATAATCTGTGATTGGACACTCTTCACTTCTTCCAGCGGAGACACCAGGGGCGTTTCAGACGTTTCTAGAGAAGACGAACTCTGCGACTCATCTGAGGACACACATGTGGGCGTCTTTAACTGAAGCGGTTGCTGCTTGGGGTTTCGTTGTTTGAAATACTCTTCGTCAGACCCCTCCTCTTCTTCCTGTATAAACATATACAAGGCTATATGAAGGCTTAGTAAAGTTTTTTTTTTTTTTGACAAACAAAATACCTTACTGAGCCACTATGTGTAAAAAAAAGTACTGAATAGTTAATGAACCATTATCCAGGCATTCATTTTGCTGCTTTAGTCAGCAAAATTAATGTAGATCGATGTAACTCTTATGTTTGGCCACTAGAGGGCAGACTGACAACATCCATCCATCCATCCATCCATTTTCTTTACCCGCTTATTCCATTTTGGGT